GGTAAGCAATAGTGATGCACGATTACGCCAACTGAAGAAGGGGGATTTTATTTCCATTATTCCATTTCACTTTATTCATTCTCTTAAATAATCATGTATAAATATAAATTTGTGGTGGTGATTCAGTCAGCCTGTTCGAACATTTCAATCTCCCTTTAAATTTGAATTTTAAACTTTACTCCGCATATTTTTTAAATAATTTTAGTGTTTTATAAATTTCCACAGTAATTACAGATGCCTTCAACAGCAGCGATAACAGTATATTATCGGAAAATAATATTTCAAAAGGTTAGGCATTGAGGAATGAAGACATTGGTTGATGAATGCAAATGATAATGGTCAAATCATACCTATCAATCAGGCAATCAAATCCGACATGTTTGAGAAAATACTTCAAAAGTGAAGCAAGAAAAATTAATGAGTTCAAAACAACCGCCACTTAAAAATATTATGAAATTTGATTAGTAAAACTTAAGCATATTATTTCGATTATGTAGTCAATAATCCAAAAAAAAATAAATAAAAAAGCATATTATGTAGTCAATATTCCAAAAATAAAAGTGCACGATGAATGTTTATTTTGTGAGTTTATGATGATATTTCATATGAAATTTATTTTTATATCCTATTGCATAAATTATAATGTTCTACGCATTTCACAGTATTTTTAAGTATAGGATCTGTAAAAAAAAAAAAACTCGAAAACTTGATTTGTAGAGGATCTCCTAGAGTTAATGCTCAATCCTGAACTCACTCCATTCATAACTGAAGAATTCAAAGGGAAGCATTTCATTCAAAAATCCCGAAAACAGATCAATACAACGATAAAGAATGAATTACAATATGTCAAGAAGAAATTTATTTATCGCGGAAATTTTCTTACATTCTGTAGCATTTTATTTGGGATACACCTCATATTAATATTTTCAATTCAGGTATGTGAATTTTTCAACAGAAATGATAATATACGGAGTTTAAATCTTTTGACGCAGTAGTAAATTTTGAATTTAATCATTCATTCATCTTTGCATACAAAAAAGGAGTTAGTTTACTTGAAGTTCGTATTGTCTTACTGACAGATAAATTATTTAATATAATTTGCCTCTAAATCATTTATTGAAATCTCCCTTCGTATAATATTTATTCAAATTTCCCTTCGTATAAATGCTGGGCATCGAGTTTATTGTGTACTCTGACCAAATGATTAAATTATATTAAATTATGTCGTTTGAACTACTCAAAATTTCATCAGGTTTGGATCTTAATATCGCGGATAGAGATTAAAAATGGAAAATGGTCGTTCAGTTCAGCTGAAAAAACCACATGGTGGTTTGATCAGGTAATTAATTTTCAAAGAATGCATTTAAACTAATAATTCTTCCTAATATAAAATGATGCGTGCATATTATGAGGGAAAAATAAACAAACAACTCTTATATAAAATTCGAAATCATTTTACTACAGCAAGAACAGCTTCGAAAGATACGGAGAAGAACTGAATGATATTCTTAGCATCCATTATTTTAAACTTAGTGCAGAAGACTAAAAATTTAAATCGAACTAAAAATTTCAGGTGGAAAATCTGGGAGATGAGCTGGTAAACTTTTGTGTAATTTTAAATTAAATTTCAAATTTTATAACAAAATTTAAATTTTATAACAAATTGCATTGAAACTGTAAAATTGAATTAATACAAGAAAGAGCTAATTAAAGCTGTCCTCGATAACAATATGAAATTTGCAAAAATTTTTATGTCAACTCATTTCATCAGTTTTTACATTGACAAATCTCGAATTCAGTTAAACGAAATTTTAAAAAAGAGACAAATAAGCCGAATATGTGAAAAATTAAAAATGAAGATGAAGGTTGCAAAACATTTTGCACCAATACTGAAACGCCTTTACTGAAAATTCAAAAGATGACAGGTCAGGGCCTAAAAACAGTCTTCCATCATTAACTATAGTTAACAGGAAATCAGAAATAAAATTCCCCAAATCTACTATTTTCGTTCATTACAAGTACAAATCTATAAAGTGTTTTTCCAAATCATAGGGTTCATAAGTTCATTTGAGAAGCGTATAACTCCTGAAATGATCCCATTTGATAATATATAGATGAAGGAATAAAGCAAAACTATCATCACTTATTTCTCTTCATCTTCACAGTCAAAGTCAATGTTTGAGATATAAAAGTAAGGGCAATTTGAAACTGATGTTGATATTGTAAAAGATCGAATATCGATAAGAAATGGGAAGGACGAAGTATCGGTTGATCAATGCTGATTGTACTGATAAAAAGAACTGTCTGTAGATAATCAGTCTTGTAAATAGATTTGCAAGAACAATGAATAGCTCATCCATCACATCTGCTTGTTAATTTCTGGCTCATAATTAATTCAATAACCCTACAGGAACTTAGTAGGACGCAAAAAGAGAGTGAAGAATTAATCAAGAAGAGAGATTTCTCACAAGGTAAATCTTTCCTTCTTTTTTTTTTAAATTTGATTTTAATACTTTGATAACGTTGTGGAAATTCCTCTAATCATTCTTTGAATAATTTTAGCATGTTGAAATTCATATTTTCAGATGTATACTTCTCTCACACTTCACAAGATAAAAAGAAGTTGAAAGAAAGATGAGAAAACTGTTCAGTACAAATGTCTTTTTAATATTTTCACTTTAATTTTCCAATTAAATAATTAAAAAAAAAGCTTTCGCAAGAAATGAAACTTTATTGGTAGACACAAAACGTAAGAGAAATGATAGAAAGTTTATAAAAATCCTATGCATAAGCAATTTACAAAAAAATAAGACTTTCTCAAGTTGGAAAAGTGTGGAAGAAATGAGCAAAAGAAATATTCACGTGATGATGCCAAACGCATACACATGTCATACACACGTAGAAAAATGCCTTAAATTATACTATTAAGGATTAAACAGGTGAAATGTCCTATCTCTTATCTAAAATTGTACCTTTTAAAAAATTCTCACTATTTAAAGAATGCAACAATATGTAATATTTATTATTTTTTCAACACTTAAAATTACATCACACTTGCAACCTACAGTACTTACCATTATAGAATATAAAAGTAGAGGAATACTGTTTCATCGATGTTCATAACAGGCACCGTACGCCATTTAAAATATAAAGATTCCCTGAAGGAGGAAGCCGATTAAAATGATTGCTTTCTTCGAATTTTTGATATTATTTTCGAATATATGCCTTTGCTCCATGGAGGGTTCCTTTCAAATTCAATAAAATCTTCCTTATTCTTATAAAAATAGAATATAAATTTCTTTTTTTTGCTAATATAAAGTAGATTGATTTGTTTACCATTTAAAACATTTAACTGATTTTAGTTGAAGCAATTAAAATGATACCTTTTACCGATGATTCTTCTTACTTCTACTGGTCCCAATGATAATGAAGAAGTTGTAGAAGAATCCGAAAGACAGATTAACTCATTCTGACGGAAGGAAAAAGTAATCTGAAAGAGAAAAAAGTAATCCGATAAGTAATTTCATTTTGCTCTGCTTTCTCATACTTTATTATAGAGCAGAAAAATTAACATCTATCTTGATTGATATTCCTTCTCAAGTTATTTAGTAACAATCTTCTAAAGCTAACTATTTAACAAAAATTGTCTACAGCATCTTATCAAATTCTTAATCTATCATATAATTTGCTATAATATCAAAAATATTCCTGTTAAATTCATTATCGATTCTCCGGTAACATATTCGAAATAGTTATTTCAGTTTCTTAATACATTTAAAATAGTTTTTTGAGCATCAATGTTTCACATTTCAGATTGAGCGGCAATAAAGCGAAAAAAAAAGTTGTATTAAAATGCACTTTTTTTAAAATTATCAAATCTAAAAGTTTATAATAATGATTACATCTAGCAAATATGGACCAAGACAAATGCATTTTAATACAACTTTTTTTTCGCTTTATTATAAATTTTTTTCCCTACCTTAAGTTTATATAATTGAACTTTATTTTTTTACAAAATGAAAAAAGCGCCTGTACCTCAACTTTGTATAATTGAACTTTATGTTACAAAATGAAAAAAAAAAATATAATATATAAAGTGTAATGTTAACTGATTTATTCAATGATTATCCCGCTTTCATTGAAATCAAGAGATGAGGATTTATTAATGAACATACATATATTGTTCATTATTAGAATATTGGAAGAGTTGAGGAATAATTATAAAAATATTCAAACCAATATTCGAGTATTTCTTACTACAACAAAATAATCCTCAAAATTTCCCAAGAATAATGTAAACGGTAACAAGCAACTGCTATCAAATCAAATAACTTGAGCAAACAAAAAGTAAAAGTTTACAAGGGTAAAGATAAAGAACAGTGTTCACTACAATGTTGTCAGTGTCCTTGCTAGATACTGTAATTGGTACAAACAATTAACAAATTTACTTCAGAAAAAACATTTGGAATGGAAAGATGGACAAGTGAAATTTTGTTGCTATTCCGCAATGTTCTGAAGATGAAAATTTTCTTGTACAACTCTTAAAGATTCATTCTCGTACAAATTTCATGTTTTTATCATGATTATGGGAAGAGAAACCAGCTCCGATTCAATGACTCGCCAAATTAACGAACAAAATTTTAATTTTCAGCTTTTTATTTATCACAAAAATAACCATTCAAAAGAATAAAGCGATAGAATGGAGATCTTCGTAATTGTTGGCAGAACTTTTTTGGTTTTAGGAGGAGAAACTTCCGTAATCCTTGATAGCTTCCTAGATTTCTTCAACATTTGCAAAATTTTTCTCCAGATAATGCGCATCTTCGAAAAAAAGTAATTCTTGAAAACTTTTTTTCTTGGAAACAAGGAGAGATTTGCTACATATATTAGATACTTCGATGAAGATTATTATGAATCAAAGTTGAATTTTTCATATAGACTACTTCAATCATTATGCCTACAGATCATATACATCACGAAGAAACAGATATCATATCTTACTACACATTCAAATCGTAAAGTTTCGTGAAAACTCGATGCCTGCAATCGGTTCCTTCTTTAGATAGCTCAACATGATGGAACTTTGGCCACCACGATTTTCGTGGATTCCATTGCAAACGCAATAGATCATCGTCTTGCACATGTTCTATTGCTGCCCACAAAAATATCCAAGCATAATCATTCTTCCTGAATATCGATGAAATTTTATTGTACGAAATTCAAACAAAAAAAATTAAGGTCTATTTGCAAAATGCTTATTAACGAAAACTTGTCAATATGCGATTTTGCAAATTAGTGATGAATTTAGATATACTGTCATTGAATCAACAGAATTGCACAGTAAATTAGGCTAAAATAATCATGTAAACTGCACAAACCTATTCGTTCCATAATCCAAAAAAACGAACAAAATTTTGCAAATATTGCGTAACATTTCTTCCGGAAGATCATAATCGTAAGGATTTAGAAGTCGCGGTTTTAACCAATCTAATAAAATCGGATGCGAAACAAAACTTGACTGCGGTAATATCTAAAGCAATAACACAATGACTATTTCACTAATATTTGTATGATGAGGTTTTAATGCACTGAATTTCTCCTTCTTCTTTTAAACTAGGGCAATCTGCTTCATGAATTTATATAAAAGAAGTCAAGCTGAAATATCATTTTTAATTGATACAGAATCAGAATTATTGCAACCATAATTAAGGTAGAAAAAAAGAAAGCTTACTGTATCAAGTAACAAACTAGCTTTATCAGCCATATTATTTAACAGTAAAGCACGATAACAATCAACAAGCATGAAGGGCGTTTTATGGCAGCATTTCTCCAAAGCACCCATTAATATGTCGACTTTTCCGATATAATGCAAATAATGCACCGCTATAGATATGAAAACACTCTCTTGACCAGATTCGACATCCTAAAATAATAATTGTCTCCATAAAACATTTGCGAAAAAAAAAACAGAAATTCTGCGCAACTCTTCATTTGATACAGTAAAGTTACTGAACTATCTCAATAATTCTTATCAAATCAACAAGCGCAATGAAAGGATTTCTCTCAGTCATATCTTGATCAAAAATCTAGTAATCTTTCATACTAATTTCAAAAAACCTATTCAAAATTTACTAGTAAGATAGTAATACATACTAATATGTGTATAAAATTAAGCTTAACATAAGTTACATCTAAATTTTTCCCATATGATTTTACTTTTATAGTGCCAATAAGTGGGTCTAAAAAGGTTGCAATTATCTTTAAATCAACTAATAATTCAGTTATAAAATTTCAGCATTTTACGAACTCATTTACGGTTGCACTTCAATTGTTAATCTATACTGAAAACAGTTCGAAATAAAATTCATAAGTTTTACCAATAAAACTGCAATGATTTCATCCCCTAAGTCAAATGAACTGCTTTGCACTGTATTATTTTCTTCTCCCAAACGCCACTGTTCATAACGAGACAACACCTTGTAAGCTCGAAGGATGGTAATGTACTAAATTTGGATATATTACTATTAATAAAACTGCTACATATTGAAGTTATATGATAAATCTACCGATACGTTGATAAATCAGTCACTATTTCAGCAAATTCGTAAGGATTTGCTGAAAACTTAATTAATGCATAAGAATGTAACTGGAATGTAACCTTATGTTTTTGAGCAACAGGTGGCAAAGATGAAATAATAGTGATCAAATCTTGCATTTCCTGTTTCTGACCATTTGCGATAGCATATATAAGCAATTCCGAGATGTAAAGCAGTGAATTATTTTCAACATCAAAGTTTAAATTCTGAAATGAGTAATTAATAGGCTGCATTATTGTATTAAATTCAACAATGTAGTAAATTTACTATCCGTTCAGTTCTTCTTTCCATTTCGTTTTATTTTTTTCTTTGATTAGGGGAAGCATCCTACAGAAGTGCAGATATATTACGAATGAGCAAATTTTTGATATTGAAAAAAGAAGCTTACAGAGTATTTTCGTTCAGTGGCAATCAAAACAAGCATTAATTCTGCTGCTGATTTAGTTATCATATCATGCGGAATATCGTACTGCATAAAACGCTCAACACCGGCTCGAAATATTGTTATAGCGTATGGAAATAACATTCGACATGTTTTATCCAAATTACCACCAAGTTTTTTACGGAACGCTTCAGGAACATCTTTCAAATTTTGTCGAAAAGAAGGCAATTGACCTGAAAAATTGAACTTAAATAGTCCTGTGAATGAAATTCATTGATGCCAAGATCGTAATATAAGATCATAAGAACACCTAAGATTTAGTAATAGCTTCAAAGCTAATTTTAAATAGCGTCATAATATTATTAAGAGTTTTTTAATGATATTCAAAGAAGCATTAAATTTTAAGACACAAAAGCTTTAAAAAATAAAATTTTAAAAGCAATCAACATTTGGATGAATAATATAGTCACCTAAAAAAGCGCCAACTTTCGACCAATCTTGATTTAATACTGCTTCTCGAATTAATATAATTCGTTGTTTAAAATCATGTTGGCGTACTTCACGATAAATACCATCTTTTTCTCTGTGTGAATAGCGAGAAATAAATAATACAGAATAACCGGAATAATCATTTCTTTCATTTTCTTTGTGAACAAATAATGCAGATGTAAAGACAGTTAAATGCTTTAAAGTGAAATGAAAGTACAACATAAAATATTGCCTTATCATGATAATTTAGCTAGTAACCATCCAGCCACTCATCTTTTATATCTATTTTAAACAATAAACAATACTTCCCGGAATATCGTTTTTGAAAAATTAAATGTTAACACTTCTCCTGTTTACAAACTGAAGATTGCATCAAGGCACAGAAGTCAAGGTAAAAATGAAGGTAAAAATGAAATAGTTCACTCAAGCATCCAATTTTCAGCGATGAGTAGTATGGTAAGTGAAATACTGAACTAACCGAAGAAAAGGAGTCATAAATTCTTCCAACCATTTCGAATAATCAAGAGAACATTCTAGATCATCTATTTCTATGAACCTAAAATGGAAAACATTTCTGTAATATCTATAGTGAGAGGCTCGTTATGAGAGTTAGTTTTTTCAAAGATTTCAATGGATTTTTTCTTTTTTCGAAATCATGAGAACAGTCTGGTGATTCAGGTACAAATACATCATAGATATGCTTCATAATAAAATAGACTGCATATGTATCTCCAATTCATTATACCAATATTGAATTCCTTTCTTTTTATCTATCACTATTTTATGTCTTGCTGACTAACAAGTAACAATATCTTTTTCAGCTTTTTCGAAACATTCAAAGTTAAGCTTTATGGTACTTATGGCTACTAATATGTTGTTTCTTGCTGAAAGAGAACTGAAAAATATTGTTTCCTGCTAAAAGATATTAAAATCGGATTTAGTATGAACCTTTCTGAATAAGGAAATAAACTTTCAATAAATAACAGTTTCAATTGAATAAATGTTATAATGCTATTGATTTCAGATTTTCGTTTGTAAAAAAGAAAACTTCGCGAAATGGGATTATTTCTAACACTGAATAAAAAATGCATTATTTCATAATGCATCGAAATTTTTAAATCAATAGCAATATAACATTAACATACACAAAACCTTACATATTTATATGATTGAGATTACGAGGTAGCCCATATAACCCTTTGTTGCGCATTACAACTTCTAGCCTTCTACACATCCAACGAGCAGCAATTTCTTTGAAATGTCGAAAAGCTGCGTCTTTAAAACTATATTTGATTACAATCGCAAATAACTCACCAACAGTCTAAAAAACATCATAAATTCAGTGCTTGTAACGAATTGTATTAATTGAAATGGTAATTAGCAATTCAATACAAGTCTTTACCCATTTTTGACTTTTGTTTTGTTTTCTTCATAGTAACTTCTTTGATGAAATATTTTGCATAAACTTATAAAATCTTGAAAAGAAAGTAGAAAGCATATCTTAAAACAAACCAAGACACCGATTATTTGCTGTTCAAGTCGCTTCATAAACAATACGCAGTATTTATCAAAGATTTGCTCCAACCTCGTTTTTTCTGGAAATTTAATATGAAATGAATTATAAACAGCAAGAATTTCGTTTGATCATGTAATGTGACTCATTTGACGAAACAGAAATCCATCAGTTACGATATCCATAAATGTATCGTATGTCTTTTTCGAATATTTGTTATGCTCATCACCACTTTGCATATCTTATAATTCAATAATTCCTTCTTATACTTCTGCTTCGTTTTCTAATAGCAGATATCTGACAATAAGCGGAAATACATCGATCTAATTTAGAAAACAAATTACCTTCTTCCCGTTTCCCAAAATGAACAACATCGAAATTGTTGCACATCTATTCTTCGCAAAAGCTTCAAAACTGTTAAACTGTTGTGGTACATAAATCACTACACGTAAGTTTTACTGAACTTTAAAGTTCTCACCTGTCCAACCCAAAAAGTGATTTATGTAACTGTAAATCCAACGCAATAAATGAATATGCAAAGCTAATATAAACCGTGAAAGCTAAAGCAGAAAACTTCAAATTCCCAATTTTATCATGAGTACTTTCATTTAAATAGAGCTGATATGATATTTTTTATGATTAGAAGTACTTTACAATAAATCGAAATAACTGAAACAGAAATGCTAACAAAATGTTTTACAAAAAAGAAAAAAATTTATTACGACATAGGAAGCAACAGTACGTACTATACTAATGGCCAAACAAAGGAATTTTTAGACTTCAACTTAGTCATGATTTTAAGGAGAAAAGTAAAAGAATGTACGATAGTACTACAATGATAAGTATTTTTTTTATATAATTTATTACTGACAGAAGACTACACTTCTCAAAGAAAATGAAGAATTTTGAAACAAAAACAAATCCGGAGACTAACCAACAACATTCAAAACTACAAATAAAATGCCGAATATTGATGAAAACCAGATAGTGATCCAAAAAGTTCTAAATTATTAAAATAAAAAAAAAGACGAAAAGATTTTTCGAGATAATTAATATCACTGCACTAGAATCACTTACGAGTAGACCACTTGCAAAAATTCTACTTCAAAACATACGAACCAAAAGTTCGACCTGCTCGTAATTATAATTAATTTCTATTCAAAATTATTTAAGATCACATAGAAATAAACATAATTAATTGATCAAGATAGTGATCCATTTTTCGAGTGAAAGCTTCTTCCATATCTTTTATTGCTTCAGCAAGCGCTAACCAAAGACGATCTTCAAGACCTGGATCTTTCTCGATCAGCATCTTTGTAACAAAACCAAATGTTTCACGATCTGCTTTAAATGCCTGTAAACGTTAAGCTTCCTTAACCTCCAAACAAACAACTTTGATAGATGTATAAAACAGAATAAAAACTTTTTCTGGTAAGATATACAAGAATCTAAAGTTTCAAAAGAAAGATTATCCCTCCATTTAAAAAGCTGGATGGAGTAGAGAAAATAATCATTGCTGAAAAAAAAAGATAACCCCTTCAAGTTGTTTCTTCTTCGTTGTGTACTTAGTGAGGACTTCCGGTGGTAAACGAGCAAGCTTTCGTTCGCGTTCTGTTTCTGCATTCAATTGACGCGTCAGCGAGCTTAATCGAAGTGCTTAAAAGAGAAAATGTTTTGCAAATTATGAAAGCTTCACCTTGCACATTAAACATATATCAAATAAGCAGCTCATCACTCCATACATTTTCTTACCATACGAGGTGGAAAATCTAACTCAGATTGCAATAGTCCAAATAAAAATGCTAGTACATTTTAAAATATGCAGTTATAAAAAGCTGAAAAAGTTATGCATAATATGATGAATCCCATAATAATACTGACTACACAGGAAGACAGTATAGCTTCTAAATTGGCCCTGAAAGAATTTTACAGTTTACTATATGCCTCCAATGATTCAAAGATGACGATGGATGATCATTAATGATGACGAAGTATTTTGTGAAATAAAAATCTCGATAACTACACAAATGAGGTGGACTTCTCGATACAATGAATTCACTAAGCAATTCGTGACTGAAAATACGTCATCCAAACCAACAAGACATTATTAACTGAATATGAATAGAACCATCTGATAAAGGGGGGAAGGAATGTTGCCTTGGAAGATGAGCATATTATTATCTTGAAGTCGTCAAGTTTATCATAAACCTCAAATGATAAAGTATCTCTTTCAGCAATAACGAAAACACCTCAAAAAAAAAACGCAAACTCTCGATCTCTAAGCAGATCGAGCAAAATTGTCCCAAGGAGTGTGGAAAAACTGCAAGTTTTCTTGCTTAAAATAAACAAATCATAAAGTATTGACCTCCTTGCGAGGGTTGCAATGTATCATTGGCATCATCAAAAAATGAAATCAACTGCTGTCCACGGGTTGTGCCGAATACATTGGTCTGGAAAAACACACAAACATAAAACATTCCAATCATTTACATAAGTTTCCAACAAAATTTTCTGCACCGTTCCCTTCAAAGATATAATGTAGAGGACAATTAATTACTTTTTAGGACACGGATAATATCATTAAAAAAATCTCTCACGAAAGGTGATTTTTATATAATTTATCTGCATAATGATCTAAAGCACAGTCAATGATTCGCTTTGCCATTTGATTTTTATTTAAAATTCAACTTTTTTACCTACTGTATTTAGCTCTCATAATGAAAAAATAATCTTTTTCAGTCCAAAAACTGTCCACAGTTTAACTTGAAGTGCTATAACAATTGAAATACCAATACATTTAAAGATTTCTTATAATTAAAACTGCAAAATATCCTTAGCAAGACAGTAAACAATTTCGAGTGATAAGCGATCAATCCACAGCCCGTTGATATCAACTGCAAAAGATCAGCAAAATGAATCCGTCAAATAATCCATTTCTTCCATAAAATCAATTACTGCTCATTTTTTTCTTCTTGTGCACGAGTTTGGAAGCATTGATCGAATTTATTTATTTCAGTGGACAAAAACAAACTGCGTTCTACCACGTATCTCAGCAATTTCATTAACTCCTTTCCGCTACAGATGGATTTGTACCAGTTTTTGTGATGCAATCTTTACAGCATTTCGTTGATCATTTTTTTGTATTGCATAATGATTTGTTTTTGACATCAACGCATAAGTTGTTCATAAGTCGTCCCATTTTTTCAAAAACAGTTTATATGACATTCTGTCAAGCACTGTGCTTTCAAACATAATCTGTTTGCTTTTTTTGCGCGCTTTCCAATGCAATGCTGATGGCACTGAGGTGGAGTGTTGCAGAGTTTAAATAATGGCAAACCCAATCTAACAATGATTATGAAAGCAGTCGTGCAAAGCATTAAGTATTGCAATTTCATTTTTCGTTCGCGTTATTCTTTTTCTCAGTTTTAGGAAAATCATTACTTGTTTTGTAATATGATCAACAAACTTCACCAGAAAAAAAGAAAAGCAATATAGAGACGCAAATGAACCTGTGCGTTCTTGAGATCATTTATTGGTCCAGCCTGTTCACGTTTTCCCAAAAAGGCATCAATATCACTTGTAAATAATCCACCTGATGATGGTGTTTCGCCTTTCGGTAAATCCAGTTGTTTTCCTGTAAAAAGTTCACTTCGACATCTCTACTATAAATTCGGTTTACGGCTTAAATCTAACAATAGAAAAATTTCCGGAAAAATATATTGAAATTGAATGCGCAAATATATAGAGTTCACCTAATTCTTTAGCTGCTTTTTTGCACGAGAATGAAGTTTCAATTCCTGCTGCTTGCGGCATTGTAGCATGCTGAAATATTCCACGAAAAATCAAAATATCAAATGAAAATATTCCACTATTTAATCAACCATCCAAAAATCCTTTTCAATAATAAAAATTCAAAATTCATGCAAGTAACGAAATACATGCAAAATATATCAACGCGTGATATATTTATGGTTTTTATAAACACGCGTTAATATTTTGCATATATGTTTATAAAAACCCATAAATTAAAAATAGGTACGACAAAATGAGTAGAATAAAATACCATTCCAATCCCATCAAGTTTGTTTACATTTATTTGGGAAATTGCATTTTTTGAGGATTGATATTGATGGGCTGTATCACGCAAGACTCGTTTTGGCACATCCTCCTATAAAAAAGGAACAAAATATTTATAAAAATCCAGAGAAAAAGGTCAAAAAATAAACTCTGGAAATTATTCACGTTTCAAGAACACAGCACTATAGGAGTGGAAACTGCGACCAGTTCAAAGAAATAGTGAATATAGACTGCTTATTTAGAAATTTTAAAGACAAATTAACGTGCAGTATTTACCGTGCTTTCTAAACCAAACTTTAGCGTAGTATTCTGCAACAAAGTTGTTTCTGCTTCCTGCTCTTCCCACTTTCCCAAAGTTGGTTTTACTGCGGGCTTCAAACCTTAAAAGGCAATTTTTCAACAAGCAATGTTCAAAAATTTTGTAAACAGTGGAATTATAAAAGCGAATGATAGCCTATTCCGCTATTTAAGCATGTTTAAAATTCCATGTTGTTGAATAAAATGTCACTAATATCAAATAATAGAAAGTATTGTTTTTATAAAATGTGTATCATTACACCCATAAAAAAAACCAACCCTCTTCCATGTCTTTCAAAACTTCTTTTCGTTTTTTTAGTATCTTTTTCCGAAGCTCGCCCTCACTAAGCTCATCGGAAGTGTGTTCATTAACTGAATTGGGGGAACTTGATGATGGACTACGACGCCGACGCTTCTTCTTGCCTTTTTTCGATTTTCGCGATTTACGTTCAGCGGGAGATTGTGATCCACTCTGAATCTTCTTAAACAGTTACAGTTCTTTTTCAATTCTCGAAAAATTCTATAATTTCTACTTATATCAGTTAGATTTACAATTTTTCATCTTTCATTGCCTTATTCGCCGATTGCTGTTACACATTTCAACGGCAGATACGGTTATAAAATTAAAGAAATTTTTCATGATTCTGGAACATTTTCTGCAAATATACCTTTTCTTGAATTTTTCATGTATCTAACATTTAAAACATCCGAAGGATTCCATTAAAGAAATGTTTTCAAACAAAATTTCCAACAAATACTTGTAATCTTATAATGTTTTGATTTAATTTTAGTATAAAAAAGACACCACGATTATTTTTTTTTGAAAATTCTACTATGAGTCATGGTTTATTGAAATCTAAGACTAAGATCAATATTTTATATTCATATCATTCTCTTTCAAATATAAGCTGCTAATAAAAACAAACCGGGCTCGATTTTTTCGGTTCCACGTCATCAGATTTTGCATTTGGCGGAGGAGGCAGTGGTGGAAGTGGTGGAGTTTCACCTTTCTCAATGGCCTAAAACTTAATCAATAGCAAGACGAACTAATTCAGGTAAGAGAACAAATTCAAACATTAAAATTTTTAATTTTATAACATTGAACAGATGAAAAACGACAACATATAAAAGCTAACCCCTTGTTATCATATTTCCCTAATGTTTTTTTTGCAAAGAAATGTTGACTTGAGTATTACAACGCTTTAAAATCATTACAAACGCTTTGAAGGTATAACGCAAATTTAGTAATGATCTTCACCAGTTTGAGATTTAAAGATAAGTGAGATGAATTACAACCTCTCGCTTAATTTGTGGAGATGAAGCTGGTGGAGCTGGTGAAGAAGAACGTTCATGTGCTGGTGCCGAATATGAAGATGCGCGAGATTGAGAATGATGAGATTTTTCACTACGCCGACTTCTGAGACTACCGGGGCTCGCTGAACGTTCATGTGATGAATGACGATGACTACGACTTGGCGATCGTGAAGAACTAAAATAATTCAACCTGATTTTAGTTTTTGAGACATTTATGAACAGCCTTCTTGAACAGAAGACAATAGAAAATTTGCATTTTTACATTAATAAAAAAATCAACCAAGTAATGTGCCAATCTGCATTCAAAAAAATAATGAACACCTGTTGGATGAGCGAGATTTTTTAGAGCCTTCCTCATCTGACGATGCACATTTTCTTTTGCTCCCCTTATCATAATCATCATCATCTCTAAAAGTATGTTCTCCAAAATTCCGCATGAAATCCTATACCTAGCCAAAATGGACCATGCAGTGTGCGAAAAATTTAAGGAGAGAGCAATAAGCAAAAAAGCGCCATTACGTGTAAACGATGACAATAACCACTGAATGTGCTGCTGACAGAAATACCTTAATCTACTTTCATGTTTTATATGTATATATATTTTTTGATTCTATTCATAGTTCAGAGAATATTTTGGAATCTTAAAATTTGAAAGTAATATACATGAAGATAACGGTATTTTTTCACAGTTTATTTAAGTAAAACTTTTATACCTGTAATCATTTCTTGATGAACGATCGTAGCTATTTCGATTGCGACCACTATAACCACGATTACGAGGAACTTTAGCAGGTCGAAGACCTGCAGAAAACGCTTTTAAAAACTTATAATGTTTGCTATACTTAACATATGCTGTATGACTCAGAAAAGCAATCATCTATCTTATTGAATACCTCCGAATAATAATTCGTTAACATTTTTATTATGGAAGGTAAAAATTTATTACCTTGACTTTGTTGATACGATACATAGCGCCGTATGTCCCGAAACCATGTCATTTCAACCGGGTAACCAAGAACATCACCATCTTTGTATCTGAAATCCAGTTCAACCAAAAAACTTAAAAAGCCTTCCCAAAACCTAAAACTTATTGAAGATTATACAGAAGATAAAATTACTGTCATTAAAAATAAAAGTTAAAACATACTTGTGCATGCATTCTTTTGCGGCATCACGTGTTTCAAAACGCACTGCCACAAATAGTTTCAGTTGGTCTTGCGAAAGCTTGATAAAGTCAAATGAGCACGGTCCAACATGGTCTTCGAAAAAATCCCTGAAAATGATTGAAATGAAGAAATAATCGCAACAGAATTGATTTTCAAGTCAATAAAAATGAAAATGTAAAAAAATTTCAAAAAACTTTGGCAAGACAAAAAATCCTCGCTTCAATTTGTTTTACTTACCTCAGTCCAAATCGATAATGTAACAAGAGTAATAACCAAGAGAATAAACTGGTATTTTGGCAAATTCCCTACTCAAAGGTAAAGCACATGGTAACTGCGCCAGCACAAAGTGTATTTCTCCACAAACAAAATTCAGCCAAGAGAGTAAGATTCGGTGAAAATATTGCTGTATGTATGACAATAATTCATTCAAATAAACCACAAGATTTCCGCCTTATCGTTCCAAAAAGAAGAGTGGAAGTAACACATACAAGTATTTCAAGATAACACAAAATTTAAATTTCGCCTGTAATAACATCAACATTTTGATCTAATGATTACCTTTTTTTACCGTAAAACTGCACTTCCGAGATAGCAGTATCAGAGCACCAGCAGAGGGTTCGAAAATAAATGAAGAGTAAAGAAATCCACTTACATTTCCATACAATGTATTCTGATGAATGTATAACTAATTCAGATAATGTAGAAAATAAGCTCCATGTCTTTCTTAGCCCCCTATTTCTGATTATACCTTTAACCCTAAATCATGAAAGGTATGATTTTGGTATCCTGTATCTCCTTATGTTACATTTCTAATAAGAAATTAAATATTTTTTGATTTCTAGCTATAGGCATAAAATATAAAATAACTTACTTCACTTCATCTGTTTTAATATGTCCAGGAAGGCCTCTAATAAATACGGTGTGCTTGCTTTCGGGAACTTCATCTTGATCGATACGATCAAAACGTGGCCCGTTCCGATAATAACCGTTCATATCTAAAGGAAAATTTGAATTTGTATGAAAAACAAAAATGAAAGAAATGAAGAAACTACTGAGATCCAAAAGAGTTCGGAAAAAGATGTCCACTGTTAAATTGGGTGACATTTGAATACTTGAAAAAAAAAGTGACCAGAAGAATGCGAACGGTGCGGAAGAATAACGATAAAATTGAGAAACTGATACAACTGCTGATAGAGCACACAAACAATCCGCTCTTATTGCAAATCAAATCCCTGAAAATTTCGGAACTTACGATCACTATACTGCTATCAATATCGTTCATTGAGCTCTAATTTTATTATTAAAAAGAAATAACATGAAAGCAATCATTCATCGCTTTTATACTACCAAGTAATGAAGTTCATTGTTACCCTTTGCAGATAAAGAAAAATTTCCAATGTTTTGGACCATTTATGAAAAAGTGTAACACTTTATTAAAATCTTACAAACAATTCTTAGGGTCAAAGATAAGATTCCAGTCTACACATAAGGAGTAAACTATTGGAAGGAGTTCAGCCATATTAGCAAGATAAAGCTAACAGCCCCATCACAGAGAGTGGAACAGAACGCTTAATTAAATCTAGTCTGGCGATTACACATCATTTATATGAGTGAGACAACCACCAAAACTTCTGTAGAAATATCGTCCGCATTGGAACCAACTGTTGCCCAGAGAATGGAACCAACTGTTGCCCAGAGAATGGAAACCAATAACTATCTCTTTATAAGCCATCGATAAAGAATAACCTCATCATAGCACTTAAAATGTTATGACAAACTCCGTGCTGTACGGTCATCGATTCGTACTATAGATTACAATGATTCACTAGCAAAAAAATCGCTCACAAGTGCTATAAATTAATATCACTTAAATATAATAATTTCTTAAAATATAATTACATTCCGATTTCTTCACATAGGCATATGGCTTGTGATATATAACTCCCAAAGAATGGGCAGTTAGCAATGACCAAATAATAAAGTTACTAATATTCGACTACAGTATTATTTTACAGCGATGACAAGGCCTAACTAATACAGATACAGATAAAGATGATAGCTAATCAGTGCCTAAATAACAAATTAAAGCATTTAAAATGGAAATCCAAGTTCGTCGCTCACCAAATAAAAGCGATAGAACATATTTATTCATACTGCAATAAATGACAAACAATATCATCAAATATTTCTTTGAAAGCAAATGTAAATAATTAGGAAAATTACCCTTCATCAAGAGCTACATAAATAAACATATATAATACAAAATTTGTAGAGCAAAAAATTTTCATGCCTAAAAGAGTAAAAAAGGACAGAAGAAAATAAAAAATTACATATCAAAGCATGCAACAGCAACAGAAACCTTTACCATATACTGAAATGGGAGAAAAATCAATCACACCTCAATAACATTTTGTTATCATTAATACTTCAGATACACAGGAAATAAGCACCTACAGGTAATTTATATTCCATTTGTTTCTCTGTGAGCAAAACTCGATTAAACAATAAAAACCATTAAACAACAACCACTCCAGAAAGAATAAGAAACCCGAACATGTAATATCAAAAAAAAAACACCAATAATATGAAAAGTTTGAAAAACTTCCCAGTGTAACCTACATTACAAAGTTGTATGCACTTAAAAAAAGACAAATTAAAAAAAAATAGAATTCTGAAAACTTTACAAAGCGACCTAAATTACAAAGTTCTATGCACTCAAAAAAAAAAAGATAAATTAGAAAAAATAAACCGCAGTTTTCACAGCTGTAATCAAAAAAAAAAATCAACACATTAATGATGAAGCCGTTATCTTGCTTCGTGTGAGTAGTTGAATACAAAAAAAAAAAAATCGAATTCATCATGAGAAAACTACTGAGGAAACCAAAGAAATAAAAATCAACAATTTGTCCATTTGTGATATCACTAAATAATTAAACGGAAGATTCCCTTTTAAATCACACTGCTACAATTCATTTGTCACAAGCGTTACAGCAGTGTGATTTAAAAGAGGAATCTCGGGTTTACTTAAACGGCCAATAATTGCAATTAGGGTATTTTCAACCTCATCTTTGTTTTGCAGATGACTATAAGCTATGAATTTATTCACTCATCTTCGGATTAAAAAAGAGATGGATTTTATTGGTTTCAGAAAATTTCTTCATGATGACAGAAATCCAATGATTTAACAATTTAAAGTTTTAAGCTTAATTACATCTGAAATTTCATTTTAAGATTACTTTGACTTTTACTTTGAAGTGCATATCCTCTTTTCCAGTTTGCAACAAACTTTTGGTTTTCATAATTGTCAACCTGAAAATAATATCATCTTCTACGTTTTACATTGAGCATTCTCAGCGTTTTTATCATTAATGCTCCTTTTTTTGGGACCACTTTCTTCTTTTCCGAATGCGAACCCGACGAAGAACTGGTATTTCTGATTGCTTGGGGTAGATTTGCCAAGGCTTCCTTGCTTCCTGCAATATGTTATATGGAAGAACATTAAATTGTAATAACCTAATCAATCGTTCAAGCACTACTAATTGAGACAATGTTTTCACTTAATTATAACGTTTGAAATGAAAATTAAAATAAAACCCTAAGAAACAAAGTATTCTGATTGATAAGACGATGGAGAAAATAAAAATGTAATCTTTAATTTCAAGACCAACATATAAATCATAATGAATTACCAAACGCGAAATATCATATTTGAAATATCTTTCCTGTCAAAAAATCTCCCAAAACCGAGCAAACTGAAGAAAAGTTTTCAAAAAATTTATCCTCAAAATGGAAAGCAATATAACTTTGTTCATAAAACAGATAAGAACAAAAACGCGAAACAGAGGTTAACCTTTATCAAAAATTTCTTTGCGTGCTTTTGAAATTTCATTAGCAGATGGCAACGGATGAGTAGCATGGTCAGTACCGTAGCGTATTTGCCGTCGACGTACTTCACGTGGAGCTTTTGCATCCGCAAGCAACGCTGTTTTTACTGGTGCAGTTGCTTCTCGATTATGCTGAGTTATTTTTGTTGAAAGCAACTTCAGCTTACGCTCACTTTCTTCACATAAACGCTACAATGCAATCATTTTTCAGCAGCAGATAGGAAGTCATCTTTCTCTTGTTACCTTTCTCACATCTACGCTTGCGTAGCAAGACACAGCTTGTTTATTAAGCAGAAGAAATGTGCAAGATTTCTTGAGCGCACGAACATTCCATACTTTTAAAAAATGAAAGCATATAAATCTTTCATAGTTAACCGGATATCCTTTTATCCCAATAAGTATTTTTCATAAGTCATTTTTTGAACACTTTCTAAACAACAAAATGAAATAAAACTGACATAATAACATTCTCGCCATGTTTCATCATCGGCTATTTCACACTTTGGAAAGGCACGATTTACAATCCGTTCCCATAACTCATCACTATCTTCCATTAGTTGCTATAAAAGAAATTTTTTCAGAATGAACTCCATAAACTTAAAGAAAAAAAACTCGTTATGGTTGTTGTTTCTTATGCAAGCATCTAAAATTTATAGTTTGTTGGAAGTTGTTTCATATGCTTACCGGATTTCGTCTTTCAATCAAAGATAACTGACTTAAAGAGCATTTCTCAAGCACTGGTTTCAGCAAAAAGTATGGTGTGTCACCAACTTCCTCAATTGCTGAAAAAATGATTGCAGAATAATTTTCCATATCAATCGAAATTTGTGATTTATATCAAATATCATATAAAATTTACCAATATGCAGCTAAAATTTATGAAATTACAGAATCTTTTTCATAAAGAAAGTAGTAATGAGGCGTTTACTTACAATTACGCATAAAAATAACTTCATGGAATAGTTTAAAACATTTCAAACTGCGTTAGACACAAGCGTAGGTTTTCGTGATAGTATTCCAGTCTTCTGAACCTATGGAACTTCTTTAAAAGAAACATAAAAAAGAGATTTGGAAAACGCTATGCACTATATTCGAAATATGAGAGCGAATAACATCGCAAATCCTTTATATAATTTTGAATTACAAGGAAAAAAACTCACAATTAATATTAGCAATTAATACTTTAATACATAAATTTTGTAATGTCGGTACTTCCTTAGGGGCATCATTTCTCGGACGTCCAGCATAGATTTTACGCACCGATTTGCGTGGCTTAAACATTGATGTATCCATCATAGTTGTCTTGGATACGTCTAAAAAATTATTTGAATATTATGTCACATTTTTCAAAGACAGTGCATTGCTAGATATTTTACTCCTACCAAAAGACAACAAAAAGCAGTAAAATTTACCTTGACACATAATTCTTCAATAAGCAGTATTGACTTTAGTGTTTTTCTACTGTTTTCCCACCTAAACCACCTGAACAATACAATTTGCAGTGAATCCTAGTAATATTATATCTATAATCGTTAACTAACTGAAGCAGGCAAAAATTATACCAGCACGATTCTCTTTCAGTACGGGTTCAAAATTCAATACTTTGGAAGGTCTATAGTTTACATCCACTTTCGATGATTTCCAATCATTACAGTTAGTTTTCATTTTTTTTAATTTAGATGGTTTAGCAATATCGGCTCGAGCCAACATGTCTGCAAAGCTCAAACCCGAGCAAGCATTTTCTAGTCCATTACTTGATGACTGAAACAGAACTGTGGTTAAGATTACTATCAATAATAAGGAATGTGGAATCTCGATAATCACTATAATTCATGCTTATGGAATTATCGCGCTTTTGTTATCATGAGCGTTTAGCAATTTCTGGCAGCTGCAAAATGTGTCTAGTTGAAATTAAAGAAGGACCTCCAAAAATACTAACTGCTAGCGCAATGCCAGGAGTCTTACAAAGTTGCGGAATAATATAGAGATTTACGGAATAAAAAAACTCTGTTATTAAATTTATTCTCTTAGTAAAGCTGTCCACGTGGATACGACAACCCACTACAATCTTCATGTCAAAATGAACATAAAACCGAACAAAAAAAGAAAGAAAAAATCCAACCCAAAAGCAAAAAATTGTAACTAAAGTAATCTGGAATTGATGCTAAGGAAATATAACTTACTTTAGTCTTATCATGGTGAACTTCGTCAGCATTACCACCTATTCTTTTCTGATTATTGCTTCTTTTCTCCTTTCTCCAATTTTCTTTCTTCGAATTTTTTATTGGATTTTCTCCTTCTGAACTTGGCGAGAGCAATCGTTTACTAAAATTTACATCTGCCATAATCATTCTCATCAAATATCCGCATATTTGCTCAAACTTATTCCTCTTAAATTGAAATATTGTTTCTCAAAATCAAAAACCTTCGCTGTTTCAAGCCACAACTCCTTGCTATATCTTTCCACTTCTCAACGATTCGTAATGCTTTTGTGCCATATTGCTCGTGACTTCTCAGCTGATTCACCACTTTTCCCACTCCTGTCTCTGATAACAGCTCCAATGTCATATCAATGTTTTCCAGACGCCTTAAAGCATGACCAATCTGCAATACACTTACCAAAATTGTTAACTCCGAAGTAATAATATAACATACTTTGCTATGAAGTTTAACTTCCGAATATTCGATCTATCAGTATGTCTAACTACACTAAACTGAATAACTATGAAATGATTTACAAAGAGCCCTGCGATAAATAACAAAAACTATCACCAACTTTGTTATCACAGCTTAACATTCGCGTGTATTTCTCTACTTTTTCCCGAATCTCACCATCTTCATCACCATCCATTTCAGCAATAAATGCTGCAAAATATACCAAATTGATGCTTTATTAATTAGCATCTCTTTTACATTACATCGATACTCATTTCTTTTATTTATACTTTAAAACGAAAAAATCGATGAGCAGTGCGACATGGCATCAAGTAAACGATAAAAACCATTGATCGATAAGCATCTCTTTATTTACATCAATACGTAGCTTTTTTTACTTTATTTTTATTATCATAATAAACATAAGTAAAAAATCAATAACAAAATGGCAGCAATAGAGTAAATTACATATCTTTCTCCCAATAATCCGTTTATCAATATTAACATATGTATAACATATGGTTGTATGTATTACTCACGTGTAATCATACGCATTGAACATTATTCCATGCAGTTACATACGAGGAGGATTAGTAAATATAGAAAATAGTGAAAAGTTATATAAATAGCATTTCAGCACATGAAAAACAGCACCTTAGCAATTAGTTTTAAAACCAGGAAATAGCCAGAGAACGCTTGCAAAATACACAATGCCACCCAACATCGCCATCTGCTCAGCAGTATTCTTGCCAAACCTCAAATATATCCAATCATTCAACCCATACACCCACACCCACACCCACACCCACACCCACACACTCGCACTCACACACACACACACACGCGCACACGCACACGCACACGCACGCTCATCGATTGATGTTAGAGTATGTATGGAGCGGTGCGATAGAAAGAGGAATGGATAGCGCCGCTCACTACACTGAATGATTGAGAATGAAGTCTTGGCATATTCGAAGGTCAGGGAAATTAAACCATGCAAGCATACTGTTAGCGAATAGAGCATTTACGTGACCGTACTCACGTGACTACCGTAATATGTTATTCACTTCTAATATTAATAGCAACACAGAATAGGTTAAATAATTGCAACTGTACGAAACATGTTTAACTGCTCCCTCTATTAAAAATTCGTTTGCATGCAGCAGTTTAGCAAATATCAGGTAATGCACTTCAGGCTATACATTGAAAATAATTCAATTGTAAAGGAATGAATATCTTTGAATTTTTTATTTATCCGTTTTTTTTTTTAAAAATAAATTTGAGAGATAGTAAGAATTCTATAAAATACATTTATTGCATACGATGAAATAAATTTTCAATCTTCAAGAAAATCTTCAAAAAAAAATTTTTTCAAATCTTCAAAAAAATCATCATTGTATGATGATTTTTTTTTTGAAGATTTGAATTATCGAAGAGATCAATGTATACACCACTGATTAAGTATAGTGAAAATTTTTTAAATTGATTAGTTTTTGTTTCATAGAAAAAAATTAACGGTAATATAATATATAACAAAAATATGGTGAGAAATGAGATTGAAATAATCATCCATATGTTGGATTGAATCTGAAAGGAATATTAGTTCAGTTGCAGTTCCGATTAATAAGTAATCACGTAGCAACGGAATATTGATTGATCGTGAGACTCAGCATTGAGTGTGATCGTTCGCTATGGATCGTGGGATTGATTCTCAGAGCAATGAACGATTACACTATATATGCTCCCTTGTTGGGCGGTACTTAATGGGAACTTAATGTAGGAGACAATTTTGTAGTTGAACAAGGAAGTCATGGTCATTCGATGGGTCAATAAAGGGTCATGTTTGAAATGAATTTCAACAAAGAATTTTCTAATAATATGTGCAATAGATAAAGCTGATGGTTAACTATTTAAACGTACAATATAAATAAAGCCTATAGTTAAGCAATAATTTATCATATTTTTCAGCTTTTGCTGACATTCTTAAACACTTTTTTAAGCGTAGTTATTGTTAGCCGCTAAGTGCATTTCTTATTCTTGATGCTATATTTTCGTTTAAAGTTCGGAGATATTTCCTTCATTCGTTCGTATATTTCTTGTCGCTTTTTCTGTTCATTTAGCATTTCCATCGATCTCGAGAAGATACAACATATTTATAGATCTCCATGAGGATTTCTTTTGACCAATATTTGTTGTTGCAATCATGCTCTCTTCTTCTTTTTTGTAATTCATTTACCAACTTTGAAATGTCCAAATGTTAGTTCTTATCAGTTTAGATCACTTGCTGGATCGAGAACTGTAATCCCTCAACTGTTTAAGTAGCAATCTTTAGAGCGATCGATCTTTTTTCTATAGACGGATATATTATCATTAGGATCATCCGCTCCAGATTCCTTTAACCGCGGTGACCCTTTTCTATCGTAACTTACAGTATTTAAGCCTTTCGAAGGAAAATCCTCTGGTAGCAGTATCAATCGGATTATATTGGAATATATCGGAATAGAAATTTTATTTTTCGTATCTCACCCATTCGATTTTGTATGAATCTGTTGGAGAACAATTACAATTTCGATCGATTCTGCATCCAATGTAATGCGCAGTTCGGATTAAACCGATCATAGCATAAACTGATTTTTCTTCCAAATTCAGGCAGCTCGTACACCGATGAGTATTGCACGTAATTACAATCGTAGTATACTCACTCTCATAACACTATTCCACTGCTTTTGTCGTGTTTGTTTAAAACATATAACACTGCTGAATATACAACACTTGAAACAGACTAGCTTCGGTATTTGATGAAATCAATTAGCTATTCCTTGTGAGGGATTTCCATGTTTCTTTGTCTTGAGTTTAATCCCAAAAATGATTCCCCTTTTACAAATTTTATAGGAGACCAGAAATTCCAAAGGATCATATTGAGAAGCAAAAGAATTGTAAAATACTTCACTTTATGATTTCAGCATTATTTTGATTGTGTTCCGATTGTTAATTAATGCAGATGATTGTCAAGGATTTTTGCTAGGATTTCTTGAAATCAATTGTATTCGATTATTTCTTTATTGAAGTTTTCATTCTTGGAAAAAGAAGACTTTCGAATAATTCATTGCTGCTTTTTCGAAGATTGCCTTCATTGGCTTTGTGATATTTTGTTTAGTGCTTTTCTTGTTCCATTTGCTGATAATATGATATGTCCACATATACATTTCTTTTAATTTCCAGATGCTAATTGGCTTTCGTTGCTTTCTAAGTGATGATTAAGTGTCGTGGATCGTAGAAATGGTGATAATATTACTCGAAAAGGAACTCTTCTGAAATGATAACATTTCAGAATTTTCTTCAGTGAATGTACATTGAATATTCTTTAATCACCCTATCCATCAGTCGGATGCATTTCCAATTGAAAGAATGCCTTCTCTACTTCGGCTATAATTACGTTTTTCATCATTCAGAAGCGCAGTAAATATTCCGACCAAATCCGGAAGCATTATCAGTGCACGGTATAGGCTTTTGAGATGTGCAGAAGCATCATGGATCATTTGAAGTTTAATTATAGGTTTGTGCAAAGATGTAATCTCGTGAAGGTTGGTTATTGTGGAATGAATTATGCTTTCCTGATTTATCTTCGAGTGAACTTCTTCAAACTATTTCCGACTGCAGTTGGTCTTGAATTACCTCGTCATTTGGTCTATTGTCCTGAAGTGTTTTGATGAGTTGTTTTGAGGCGCCTGAAATATAGTCCATAATAACTTTTAAGCTTATTCTTTGACGCCAGCAAACTTATTATCTTCCACTATGTTTCGTTGTACTTTTCTTAAATTATTCAAGGGTTTCCGCAAACGCTCCGTTCGTTGCTTTACGGTGGACATAGACTCGACACTTGTCATCCAAATGGTCCTGGTTGCAAAATGAACAGAGTTTCTGATTTTTGGTTCAGGCATTTTTGGCTGATTTTTGGTTCAGCATTTCTTTCAAATATTGTTATCGTTTGATTCCTGTCTCTTTGCTACTGTTGCTAAGGCCAAGGTTTCTCCTCTTTCTGTCTTCCGGAATTATCGATTCATTTCTGCGTGCTAATTTCTTTCAGGGCCCATGATTGCAGGCTTGAATTAAAGCAGCATCTTCCTTGATTCTTGCGCTATTCTTGAGCAGTTTTTTAATTTTATTTTTACTGGTATATTTTTGGTTAGAATTGCTCAGGATAATTTCTCTCAGTAATCGTTTGCACGTTCCTATCGCTCCAAGTTTTCCCTTATTGGTTGTGATTATCCGAGGACTCTAGTTCAGTCGCTTCAATTGTCTCTATTAAATCTCGATCATTTCATCTGATATTTTGGATCTCGTCACAGGATGAATTTGTGGTTGTCGTTGTGTTATAAAATTTCTCCATTAATCTATAAAAGTGCTTTGGTACAACATCGTATCAATAACAATTTCTCCTTCCAAACAGGAAAGCAAATAATTCAACTTTTGTATGTCCGAGAAGTCTTGCTCATGTACTGCTGCGTTTAAAAGTTGCTCCAAAATTCTCTTCACTTTCACAAAATCAAATGGGACAAATTTACCGTTATTTGGCGAGCTTTCTGGAATAATTTCTGCTTATGCCATTTGATTTGAGGATTCTTTTTGTATACTTTATATTTGTATTTATATATTATATATTATATATATACACATATATACAATATATAATTCAATTTCTTCCATTCTGTCTATCAATTATCCTTTTTCGTTTGTCGTACTGTTCATATCATTCCTCATCGGCTATATGTTCTTCCCCTTTGCTGAAATAGCACTTACTAATAATATCTTTGATGGCATATTTTTTTAGCTTTCATCGATATTAGATGCATTTTCTTATGCAAAAAAAAAAAATTAAAAAGTAGCAGAATTAGAAGATTAGGAAAAAATTTGAAAATAACGGAATCAACAAATTAGCAAAGTTATCGGACGATTCAAATTTTAAAAATTGTAAGAAATGTAAATATTTAAATGATAAATTGAATGTTTTCGTTACGCTCATTAAGTAAAAAATGTCTGTCGAATATTGTACGAGAAAGTTTATCTGTAATATACGATTATACGAGGAAAACTATCGTGAAAGAATATCAAAATTGATGTTTGTTTCTGTAGACAAAATTAATCATTCCTGATATCTAAACGTTTCGTGGGCATGTAAATATATTGTGAATTATG